GGCCCGGGCCGAGCCCCCTGCCGCACCGGTGGAGGGATCGGAGCCCGCAGCCCGGAACGGGGAGGGGCGGCAGGGCGGGCGGTTGGGGCGCGGGGTGGGCTCACCTCGAACATGAGCCCCAGCAGAAAGACCATCGCCACACAGGAGACGATGTCCGCGTGATTCTGCAGGATGAATTCGTGGCTCAGGACCGGGGGGTTCTTGGTGCTCTTCTTGCGAATCGCCATGGTGGGGCCGCCGCCCGTGCCTGCAGGTGCTCCGCCCTGGGTCCGCTCTTCCCTGCTGCTCACCGACAAGCTGCCGCCGCCACCTCCCCCTGGCTGCTCCTCACAGCCCCGCCGCAGCCGCTCGCTAGAGCTTCACTTCCCATCCCACAGTCAGTACGCAGCCGCCGGGGCCGCCCGGGAAAAAAAAAAAAAAACCTAGATCGCAGCAGGGGTGAGCATGCGCACCAGGGAGGCGGTGCTCGCTCGTGCTGCGGTCGCCCCTGCGAGTCCACAGCGCTATCTACCGGCCGGAGGCCGCCAGGCGGGAGTAAAGGAAAGCGAGCGGCGGGACCCCAGCTCGGCGCCAGGCCGGTGGTTGGGAGTCGTTTGGGGCGCGAGCTTCCTGCATCCTGTCAAAGGGCTGAGGACGCAGCAGGTCCGAGGGCGCCCGCGCGCTGTGGTTTACGCAGTCCCAAGCATACCTTCCCTGCTCTCCTGGCCACCCGGGGCTTGGGTGTCAGTGCCTTCTTCCTTGTTGATTGTCACTTCTAGAAAGTCACTGCCACCAAGATAATCTAAAAATATAACTACAGCCTGACTGCACATGGGCACGACGCATTCTTTGGCATTAGCGTTTGCGTTAAAAATTAACCTCAGAGTTAAACACTTCTGGGGACTTTTCCTTATTCTTTGTAGACTTGGACTGACTTAAAAAAAAAAAAAAACAGTTCCTACTCGAGGCCCGCCTACCCACCTGCATACCTCTCCTCCCCGTCGGCACTGGGCCTCAGACTAAAGATGGTGTAATCAGTTTGGTTTCCTTGCTTCATGCTTATTATTAACAACACTTTTTAGTAATCTAAAAAGATGATAAAGGACTGTGAATTCGACATGTTCTCCTCTTTCATCTTTTGGCCAGATCAGAAGTCCTTTGTATTTCTTCTCTTGATGAATTGCACTACCATTTACCCAAATCTGGAAACCAGTCATCCTAGTTGATCCCCTTCAACCTCCTTCCACATCGAATCTATTACAAAACTCAGGCAGTTCGAGTCCCCTTTTCCCTCCCCACTGCTCCAGGAGAGGGCTTATCTCTTTCCCACTATATGACAACTGTGGTGGTGGACGCTGAGTGGTGTAGGAGCACGGGCTTTTGAATCAGAACTTTGCCACTTCTTACCTATATGAACATGGACAAGTTGCTTAATCTCTATGAGACTCGACTCCCTCATTTATGTATGTATTCAACAAACATTTATTGGGTGTTGGGGCAGATTAACCAGTAAACAAGGTAGGCACTAGCTTACAGTAAGCAAGGTATGCAGGGGCTTAATTGTGTTTACTTACTAGTCTATAGTGCACAATTTCACATGGGTTTCACCACATCTTTGCTGTGATGAAAACCGGGTGAAACTGTGCACTACAGATTAGTCAGTGAGCACAAATAAATCCGTGTGAAGCTTGCTCACGGGGTGATCTGTCCCGGATTGTGTGTGTACTGTGTGATAGGCACTGCATATAGAACCGAACGAAAAAGACAAATAAACCAGTTCTAAGTGCTTTCATTGTAGTAGGAGAGTAACTTCAAACAAGATGTTAACAGGGAAACATATAACATGTTCAATGGAGATGAGGATCCAGGAGAAAAATAAAGCAGGAAATGGGGAATAAGTGGAGAAGCTGCCTTTGCCTGAAAACCTGAAGGAAGTGAGGGAACAATCCATTATGATACCATCTATAAAATGGGGATAATTATAGTACCTAATTTAGCAATTAAATGAAATGATTCAAGGGAAATGCTTAGCAGAGAGTACACACACACACACCAGTTGTCGATTCTGACTCATGGCAACCCGTAAAAGGTTAAGAGAGGATAAGAGAGGGAAGAGGGGATACGAGTGAGAAGTCAAATCTGTATCCAGAGTGTCTCTTCCAGTACGAACAAAGTGCTGCCCCTTCCATGATGGAAGCAGTCCAGTGTAATCAACCTGCCACCAATCAGCTAGCTCATCACTCTGGCAGGGTGTATTGTGGTCAGAAGTCTTTCCTGCTGATTCCTGCTCCTGAGTCCCCTATATGGCCTTACGACCACAATACAGGTCTGATACCTATTAAAGGAACGAAGAAGGACTGGGTAGGAAGACCCTCAGACTGAGGTGCAGTCCGAGAAAGTTTTGGCCAGCTCAGCAGGGAGCTCCAGCATTAAGACTGCCCATGGATTCCATCACTGGGCAGAAATGGTGAGCTCTTGTGTCACTGCTGTGCTCAGTCAGGGACTAGGGGCTGCCAAGGAAGTACATGGCTTCAGCTCCAAAACTTCGGCAGAGTCTGGAGGCACTGCAGCTGGAGGCTGCAGCCAACTGCACTGCTCATGGCAGGATCCCCTTTGAAGGGAGATCTGAGGAGTATATGTCCGCAGCTGCCATAGTGGTTATGTTCTGTTTACCGCTTCAGAAAACTCTCCCTTCTTCCCTGCCCAGGGAGGCCAACCTGTATCAACAGTCTCCTTTGCTCTCTGCTTCTAGTTGGGGTTGGCCAATGGAGAGAACCGTGGAGAAGGAGAGCGAAGTCAGGGCATTTATTCCCGTCCCCTTGCACTCATCTTTGGGCTGGCTGCATCCTTCTAGAGATCATGGTTTTCTCAGAAGGCCCTCTCTCCACAGCTCTCTCCTAGGCTTCCTCCTGCCCCTTCAAGTACCCACTGTTATTAGCCTCAGAGTACTGAGTATCCCTTGTGGTTTCATCTTGCCCACATCTTTGAAGAATCTCTTTATGAAAATTTCCCCAGAGTATCCAATTCGAATGTGCCATCTGTTCCTACCAGACCCTAACTGATAAGGAGGTCATTAGATAGAGACAGATAGCTGCTGTCTAGTCGACTCCCACTTGTGTGACCTTACGTACAACACAGCAGAACGAACCTGGCCCAGGCCAGTGTCGTTCTCACAAACGCCAGCATGTTCAAGTTCATTGTCGTGGCTATTGTGCCAATCCATCTCACCAAAGATCTTCCTTGCCCTGTTGGCCCTCTACTTCACCAAACATGATGTCCTTCTCTAGCAACTGACCTCCATATGACATGTACAAATCAAGCAAGTAGGACAATGTTCTGTTATGATCCATAAGGTTTTCACTGGCTAATTTTTGGAAGTAGGTTACCAGGCCTTTCTTCCTAGTCTGTCTTAGCCTGGAAGCTCTGCTGAAACCTGTTCAGCATCATAGCAACACATAAGCCACCACTCATTGGTGGAGGTTGTGCATGCTGTTACACAGATTATATTATTTAGTGTTCACAGAAAACCTAGGAAGTAGGTGCTGTTACACTAGTTTAAAAATGGGGAAACTGAGACTCAGACAGGTTAAGCAATTTGCCCTAGGTTATATGGCTAGTAATCTGTCTGCCAAACCCTTCTTTGTTGCTGCTTTTAGTTGCCATTGAGCAGATTCTGGCCAAACTCTTCTGTCATTGTTGTTAGGTGCCATCGAGTTGGTTTTGGCTCATAGCGACCCTATGTACAACAGAAGGAAACACTGTCCAGTCCTGTGCCTTCCTCACAATCATTGCTATGTTTGAGCCCATTGCTGTAGCCACTGTGTCAATCCTCCTCATTGAGGGTCTTCCTCTTTTTCACTGACCCTCTACTTTACTAAGCATGACGTCCTTCTCCAGGGACTGGTCCCTCCTGATAATACGTCCAAAGTACACAAGATGAAGTCTTGCCATCCTTGCCTCCAAGGAGCATTCTGGCTAGACTTTTTCCAAGACAGATTTGTTTGTTCTTCTGGCAGTCCGTGGTAGATTCAATATTCTTTGCTAACACCATAATTCAAAGGCAATTCTTCTTTGGTCTTCCTTATTCATTGTCCAGCTTTCACATGCATATGAGGCAATTGAAAATACCATGGCTTGGGTCAGTTGCACCTTAGTCCTCAAAGTGACATCTTTGCTTTTTAACAACACTTTAAAGAGGTCTTTTGCAGCAGATTTGCCTAATGCAATACGTCGTTTGATTTCTTGATTGCTGCTTCCACGGGTGTTGATTGTGGATACAAGTAAAATGAAATCCTTAACAACGTCAATATTTTCTCCATTTACGATGATGTCACTTATTGGTCCAGTTGTGAGGATTTTTGTTTTCTTTATGTTGAGGTGTAACCCATCCTGAAGGCTGTAGTCTTTGATCTTCATCAGTAAGTGCTTCAAGTGCTCTTCCCTTGCAGCAAGCAAGGTTGTGTCATCTGCACATTGCAGGTTCTTTATGAGTCTTCCTCTAATCCTGATGCTACCTTCTTCTTCATATAGTCCAGCTTCTCAGATTATTTGCTCAGCATACAGATTGAATAAGTATGGTCAAAGGATACAACCCTGATGCACACCTTTCCTGATTTTAAACCACATAGTATCCCCTTGTTCTGTTGGAATAACTGCCTCTTGGTCTGTGTACAGGTTCCACATGAGCAGGTTCCACATGAGCACAATTAAGTGTTCTGGAATACCCATTCTTTGCAATGTTATCTATAATTTGTTATGATCCACACAGTCGAATGTCTTTGCATAGTCAATAAAACACAGGTAAACATCCTTCTGGTATTCTCTGCTTTCATCCAGGATCCATCAGACATCAGCAATGGTATCCCTTGTCCTCTTCTGAAGCCAGCTTGAATTTCTGGCAGTTCCCTATTGATCTACTGCTGCACCCGCTTTTGAAATATCTTCAGCAAAATTTTACTTGAGTGTGATATTAATTATATTGTTGGATAATTTCCATATTCTGTTGGATCACCTTTCTTTGGAATGGGCATGTATATGGACTCTTCCAATCAGTTGTCCAGGTAGCTGTCTTACAAATTTCTTCCAGATTCATGTAAATAGTCCCCCAGGGGCCTCACTTCCCAGAAAAGACCCCAAACTTCCAGAGAACAGTGATTCTCAACCTTATCTCATTCTTACTAATTCGCTGTCCAGCTTGCACATGTGTGTCAGGCAACTGAAAGAGACTGGCTCCTACCCTGATAGAAACACAGCCCCCACCCCCCTTTACAAAAAAGAAAAAAAAAAGTCATGTATCTGTTTACATGTTATTGTCTTATCATTTACAGTAAATTTTGAAAATATAAAACTGCCCTCAAATTGTTAGGAGGAAACTGTATTTCTAGGAGGAAGCAAAAACACTCCATTAGTAGTTGGAAAT